CATCTTGACTGAATCAGTGTCAGTATTCTGGCTGTATAGTTTTACAAGATACCACTATTGGAGGGAACTGGGTAAAAGGGTACAGGAATTTCTGTATTTGTTACTTCTTAACAACTATATGTGAATCTACAATTATCTCAAAATAAGTTATCTACCAATTAAGAAAAAAAAACCCTAAACCAAACCTATAAAATGAGTTCTTGTATTCTAGACATATTAAAGGACAGTCTCAGAATTCCTATGAGAAGTGATTTTGTTGTGGCTATTAAAAAGGTAGATTATTTATGATTTGTATCATTTAGTCAAATCTATTTTCTAGCTTTTTGTTTCTCACTTAAAAAAATTAGGCTTATTTTATGTACCTAGGCATTTAATTTGTATTTAAAGTTTGATGGGAACGTGTGTCTTGATCTATGCATGAGGTCTAAACGATGTGCCTTGCAATCTTACATAGGAAGGAATAAAATATTTGGTGAATTGACATGATTTATTCAGCAGTCAGTGGGGAAGGTAGCTGTATTAAAAATGTAAAATATTAAACAATGTACATTTAATTATAGAGTTTATGAGGCTTTTGAAACCATTTTTACCTAACATTTTGCTCTGATATTTAAATTAGTTCATGTTTCTTAGGAAGCATTCTTGTTTTATTGCTAGCTTCATAATAAAACTTTACAGTGGGTAATTCACTTTGATAATTAAGAAGTGACTTCTAATTTTTCTTCCTTGTATAATTAAGCAGATGTTAGTGGTGGTAAAATATTAATTTTAGAAATGTTAATAAAGAAGAGTTTTTGACTTATACTTTAAACACTTATTTTCATCCAGTTGTTTTGCATTTTACTACAGTTGTATTCCTTTTTTGTGTACACACAGTTATTTTTATTATATTTGCCTCTCCACATTAAGAATACAAATAACAAAACCTATCAAGATGTAAATAAGAGATAAATCAAGACAGAGACGTATAAGTATGGGGTCCACAAAGGCATGTGTACTTGCTGTTTGTCCTGGTCCTTTACCTGGTTGGCTTCAGATTTATTCTTTACCTTTTCTGTGTTCTGTTTTGTATCTCAAGGGAGGGTTATTCCAGTAGATGGCATTTTCTAAGTTCCTAAATCAGCTAACTTCTCCTTGGATTCATCTTACAGAAAGCATTGGCAGGAGTTTGAAAAGAAGGAGGAAGGGAAAGGCTATAGTATTTTTCTCCCTGTCTGCCTCAGGAGGTGTGTCTCCTTTGTAGCACCAGCTTCGGCCAGACTGCCTCCTTGGCTCTGTTCCACTAGTGTCCTTGGACTTGGGCTCTGGTAACATCACTGCTTTCTCCCTCTGTTCCTTAGGCCTTGGGATGATAATGGCTGCCTGCTGTGCCTCACTGTCCCTGCTTATGTGTAGTGTAGTTTGAATCTTTTTATAGCCAATATCTTTAGTTTATCTAATAGCATTGTAATCTCCTTTTTTTGTATTATTATTACTGTTACTATTTTTTAAAAGTCTCCATTATATCCTCCTTTTGATTTTTGTAAACTGTGAAAGAATTGGGCTAGGTGCTGTTTTCATAGTCTTTATGTTCTTATGTGCTTTTGTATTAGCCTGCCTTTTTTTTCCCCCTTGAACTATTTGATTTCTTCTCCCAGAGTAGGGAAATTTAAAGCTGGAATAGAGCAACCTTAAAGTGATTTATTTCTTAAATCTGACTCTTCACGTTAATCTCAACAATGATACCACCTGCTAAACATGAGTCAGACATTCAGCGAATGTTCATTTCAAACTATTTGTTGGCTGTCTACTGTGTGATAAAGCATCAGGCTGGATGAGCTACATAAAGGTATCATACGATCTCCACTTTGAAGTTGGTTTTAGGCGTTCTGCACAGGGTCCCCTGGTAGGGAAGGAGTTCATATTGCTTAGCACCTTCAGTGATAGGGCTTCATGGGGAAGTTCTGTGGAATCCCATATAATATAAACATATAATTCCCATAAATATATAGTCTCATGAAATGTAAACATAAAATTATATTCTGAATCTAGAGAAGGGGAAGTTTTGGTATATGCAAATGAATCATTTTGTTTTTTCAGCTAACTGATTTTGTATCATGGAGCAATATAATTAAAACCTCTTAGTCTTCTAAAATACTTTATTAAAAATTTATTTTAGAAAATTTTAAAGGATATTTAATGATAATTTAGAACATTGTTAAATCATCATATAGTTGTTTCTGATTAAACCCAACTTTTCCTAAGTGTAACTAATCAATGACTAGGCTGTACCTTTACAATTCATGACACACTTCAGCTTGGTGTCAAACCTCTGAGGGCTTTAGCTTCATTTTATGTTAAAATGCTGATAAGCTCTCCTGCCCCAATCTATTTTGTCTAGCCTTCTCTGGCCTAGGTTGCTACTTCTTCAAATATTATATAAGAGGTGGCTGCCAGGAAAAAACAAATTTGGTAGTTATCCTTTAGTCTTGTTGCTGAAAGATTTTTGAAAATACTTAGTTTTCTCTTACTTACCAGATACTATTATAACTCTTGATTGAATGGTCTTAGTAAAGAAATGGGTGTATAGCTTAGTGATAGAGCGCTTGCTTAGCAAGCATGAGGTCCTGGGTTCAATCCCCAGTACCTCCATTAAAAAAAAAAAGGTTAATTTAATTGTAAATGACTATAATTCAATTTAAAAAAAAAAGGATGAAGTTCCTAAAACAAAAAAAAGTCTTCTCTCCTTAGTCTTTTATTTTGAAAATTTTCAATCTACAGAAAATTATATAGTAAACATCATGTATCTTTCATCTAGATTCATCATTTGCAAAACTTTTTTCTATATTGGTTTTTATCTTTCCTTCTCTATACAAATATATGTGCTTTTTTGGGGGGTGCCATTTGAAAGAAGTTGTATATATCGTGACATGTCATCTCTAAATACTTCTGTCAAAGGATTTTTCTTGTACTTCTTTTACTTCTTGTACATACCCACTAAACTAGAATATTTTTAAGTGTTGTTGATGAATGGTGCCGGAGGATACATGGCCTGACTTCCTCATGTCTAGACTTTCCCCAAATTATGTTTTCCCCTTACTTTACATTACATTCTCTTTTTGTTGTTTTATTTCTAATTACCCTTTATAACCACCTATCATCACTACTCTCACTACTCCTTTCAGATATCCTTTTTCTTTTTCCACTTTAAGAAATTTATGGTAAAATATATATAACAAAATTTACTATTGAAGTGTACAATTCAGTGGCATCAATTATATTCACAGTGTTGTACGGCCATCAGTATTATCTAAAACTTGAAAACTTGAATCACTCCAAACAAGAAACTCTGTGACCATTAAGCAGTAACTCACCATCCCCCCTCCTCTAGCCTATGGTAACCTCTAATTTACCTTCTGTCTCTGTATTTGTCTAATCTATGTAGTCCAAATAAGTGAAATCGTACAATATTTGTCCTTTTTTATCTGGCTTATTTCAGTTTGGATGTCTTTAAGGTTCATCCTTTTTGTATCGTGTATCAGAACATCATTCCTTTTTATAGCTAAGTAAAAAGTCCCTTGTATGTGTATACTACATTTTATTGATCTTTTCATCTGTTAATAGACACGGGCTGTTTCCATCTTTTGGCTATTGTGACTAATTCTGAAATGAACCTTGGTGTACAAGTGTCTCTTTGAGTCTCTGCTTTCAGTCTTTTGGGGTATATACCTAGGAGTGGATTTGCTGGGTCATATGGTAATTTTATATTTAGCTTTTTGAGAAACTGTCAAACTGTTCCCCAGGGTGGCTGTGCCATATTATGTTCTCACTATGTATGAGGGATCCAGTTTCTCCACATCCTTGCCAATGCTTATTTTCCCTTTCTTTGATTACAGCCATCTTAGTAGGTGTAAAGTGGTATTTCATTGTGATGTTGAGTATCTTTTCATGAGTTTATTGTTCATTTGCATATCTTTGGAGAAATGTTTATTCAAGTCCTTTGTTGATTTTAAAAATTGAGTGGTTTATCTTTGTTGTTGGGTTTAGGAGTTCTTTATATGTTTTTGATATTACGCCCTTGTCAGATACATGGTTTGCAAATGTTTTCTTCCATTCTGTAGATTGTCTTTTCACTTTCTGGATAATATCCTTTGATGTTGAAAAGTTTTTAATTTTGATGAAGTCTAGCTTACCTATTTTTTCTTCTGCTGTGGTTTTTCTGATAGCTTAGTAACAGAACCACCAGTAAATTTATCAGTTGTTGTTAGATGATTTTTCCCCTGATGACAGATTAGGGTTTGCACTGCCTTGTTTGGTCCAGGATCAACAAAAAATAACAATAAAAAATAAACACTGAATGAGTATTAGGTGTGCTAGGTGCCTTTGGGAAGCATGAGAAAAGAAAATTCTAAGGAAGAAAGGGGTTATAATTTCATTCTGGCCAGGTAAATTGTACTGAAACCCTGTAACCTCCCAAAGAGATTAGAAGATACAGTCTTCTCCATCATTTTCTGGAAGAAATTTAAGTCAGAACTAGTATCTCTACTGCACTAATCAGGTTCCTGGCATCTGCTCTGGGTCCAAGTTCCTCCTACACTTCAGCCTGTGGAGGTTCCAGGTTGCTTGTTTCTACATTTTACTGAATTTCATACTTAGCTCAGCTAGCTTCTTACCTTTCCTGCCTAGTCCAGTTGTCTTTACAGGCTGCTTAAGAAACTCAGAGTAAACGGGTTCCTTTCAGGTAGACTAACATTTTAGACCAGACTTTAAATCTGTTTTATTGCACTAGAAAAATGAATTTCACATTTATACCCCTGAAATTCCTTTAAGAAGCTCTGTATGTGTTGCTGTTAGTTAAAATAGTCAGGCTTTTCCTATGTATGGCATGAGTGCTTTCTCTCTAGTATATTTTCTCTTAGATGATGACCTGGTAATTGTTCACTTTTCCCTTCAAACTATGAAAACACAGATACTCAGTGCTCTCAATGTTTAAGAATTGTTTATTCTCATTTTCCCCCTAGCGGATCTAAAAAGAACCATTGCTGTCCTTTTGGATGACATTTTACAACGTTTGGTAAAGCTGGAGAACAAAGTTGACTATATTGTTGTGAATGGCTCAGCAACCAACACTACCAATGGTACCAGTGGGAACCTTGTGCCAGTAACCACAAATAAAAGGATAAATGCATCAGGCAGCATTAGATAGCAGTCGAGGATCACCCTGTGCTGCTCCATTCACCATGGATTATATCCTATGGCAGAAAAGCTTTTAAATCGCTGGCTAGGATAGAGTAATACTTCACAACAAAAGCTCTACGCATTTTCAAGGAATATGCTGGATTCGTGGAACTCTAATTCTGTATATACATTTTTAAAGTTACTAGTTTGCTTTCAGGCACGTTTCTTCAATGCTCTACTGTATCCTTAAAGGGAATTTGATTAACATGGTTGATGAACTAAGCAGGTAGGTGACCTTTGTGTAAATCTTTGTGTTTGAGATCAAGTTGAAACAAAAACACTGAAAGACATGGATTCACTTCTATAAAATATTTATTTAAATATATAACATGTTTTTCAGAAAGTGAACAATATCATTGAATCATTGTCACTTGTTCTCAGTAGATGTAACTGTTGGACTAATACTGTTAGAAAATGTGATTTCCCATGCTGTATTTTGTTACCAGATTATGAGCAGAGAGAAAAGAAGTATAATGTTGAAAATAATGTTTTGAAGTCATGACCCAAAGAATGTCTTCATTTTGCACTATCCCTTCAGAATAACTGGAGGTTAATTATTGTATATTTAAAAAATTACATTTGTAAGAGTAGAATCTTGAAATGGGTAGTAGCCACTGTCCGTAAACTATTCTAAACATTGGAACAATTAAATAACGTTAAAGTAGTAACCTTTAATCTCACCATGTAACATCTTCTTACATACTTATATTCTGAAGAGTAAAAGATATTTTTGTGATAAGATTAAAAATAACTATTCATGATTTTTCACATACATGAATGTTAATTTGAAAGTGTAACCCTTTGAGTGATTTTGCTGTCAAGAAAGCACATTATTTCCATATTTGGGTAATTTTTGCTTTTTTTTTTTTTTTTGGCAAGGGAGGGGGAAACATATCTGTGAGACTGGGACTCTTAGGGACTTTAGCCAAATGTATATAATAAAGGTATTTGTGTTGCATTAAATTGTTTGGAAAATGTTAACATTAGAGTATGTAGAGTATCTGCTTTATGAAATTTTGGATTTGTATAACATATATACTAGATATTCATTTTATATAATGACCACTTAAAAAATAATTAAGAACGTTTAAAATATAATTTAAATTATAAAGATGGACTATCTTTTCAGGAAGACAGCTGTTGTATATAGCACAAGAGATCCTAACTTGGGGTAATTCTAGTAGAGAGCGAAGTCCACCCTTATTTAAATTTCCCTTGTAGCAAGTTTAATTGCCATATGGTGCCCTATATTTCATAGTATTTATTCTCTATAATAACTGCTGAACTGCAGCTAGCTTCTAGATTTAAACTGTATTGAATTTAATTTTGGATATTGTGTTGTTCATTATTACAATATGCTACCACATGTAGTAGCAATAATTATAATGTTTTATTAAAATAAATATGAGAAAATACTGTTTCATGAAAGGTAGCTTTCCAGACTTTTCCCTGTACCCTACCTTTATGTGAAGAAATTATTTACATTTCCAGGTGAAGTTTGGAATAATTTTGTTTGGTCTCTCTTATTAGATGTGGACATTTTTATTTTTTGTTTTTGTTTTCAGGGATGAAATAAAATGTATTATTTGTACTTTAAAGTGTTACAAGTTTTTTTCTTTAATAGTGATAGTACATTTAACAAATGGTAAATGACTAAAAGGAATCTTAGATAATTTTGGGTTTTGTTCTGTCAACTCCATATAGTTTTTTCAAAAGAGAAAAATGAAAGATTGCCTTGTTCAGGTTCTGAGAGTCTTGAGTTCAGAGATCAATGGGAACAAACCTGGGGATTGTGATGGGAGGTGGTTCTGAGGTTTGTACCCTCAAGTTGAAGTTTACTGTTGAGTTTTAAAAAATCATGCCTTAGTATTTGTATCTTCAGTTAATCTCAGTTAATCGGGACATTAGCACAGAGGGCATCACCAAAGATACTGAAAGCTTTCACATTTATTTCAGGGTATCTTTGAGTTTAAACACTACACTGGTTAAAAAAAAAAGCCATTTAAACATACATAATTAATGATAACTTGGGTCTCATTTATCTTCAAAAAACACTTAGGACCTTGACTGTGAAGTTAGGTGGACCGTAGAGGCTCAGGTTTACCTTTTTAGTGACATTATAATCCTCCTCATTTTGAATTTAAAGAATCTGCCTCATCTCATTTAATTATGTCTTAGAATCCTAAAGTGTTAACAGTTTGTATAGGAACCTATGACTTGCACATTTGGTTTAATTGTAGACACTGTTCTGTTTTTAACACTTTGAGCTGAATAGCTAACAATGTAGTTACACTGTTTTCCCTTTTTTTTAATTTTAGAGAAATGTTTACCTGAAAGGAGGGACATGATATAATGAAAAAGGTAAAAATAAATATAGCGGTTAATTGAAATCATTTTAAAAAATTGATTCTTACCTTTTGGTTGAAGGAATGGTAGGTTTCATCGTGTGAAAAAGCTCAAGAGCTAGAGAGAGAGAGGAGAGAAAGAAATGAATATGAGAATGAGAATAAATGGGTGGGGGGATTTGAAATTTTTCTACTCAGGGATAACCACTTATTGACATTTTAGGATATAAATGGGAATCTGATCTTGTCTGCTCACACTCTACTGATATCTCACTTCCATTTAAAGTAAAGCACTTCCACTGTGGCCACAAAAGTTCTAATTTGCCCCTGACTGCCTCCTGACCTCATCTTTTACCACCTTCTTCCTTCCTAATTCCTTTTCAGCCACGCGATCTTTCTCTTCCTAGGACATACCAAACAGCTTCAAACTTGTTATTCCTTTATTTGCAACTCCCCTTCTTCATGGGGTATCTTCATGGTTCCCTCCCTCACATCAGTCAGGTGTCTCCTCAAATGTTACTTCTTCACTGAAGTTGTCTCTGACCACCTACCTAAAATAGCATGCCTCTAGCACTCTTCTCACCCTTTTACATTTCTTCATTGTTCTGTTATACCTGACAAATTGCATATAGTAACTTACTGTGTTTTTTCTGACACTTCTTAGAATCTAATTCACTGATATAACTTGGGCATATACATTTATGTACACATATACATTGTGTGTCTGGCACATCGTAGGTGCCTGATAGGTATTTGTTAAAGCAAGTTCCTAAGCCATTTTATACTTTTTGCTTTGTGCATCTATATAAGCCTATATATATATAAATATATATATATTCTCTTTGTACAGCATATCATGAACTTCTTTCCAAGTCATTAAGTATATAACTTTCATGGTTATTTCATTGTGTGGCTATATTACAGTTGCTATATCTTTCACTCAATTGTTAGGCATTTTGGTTGCAGATAAAAGATTTAGACTTAGGTGTGGGACAAGTCTAAAGCCTGCCGTCTTTGCATTATTTCATGCTGTCATTTTTATTTTAAGTGTTAGAGGGTAACCTAATAAAGTGTGATTAATATCCATTTGGGGAGACAGGGTGGTGAAATATCTGCCATAAGAACAGAAAATCCAAAATTGGTGCTCATCCTCAGACCTTGTTTTATATCATGAGCAGTGGGTTAGAAGCATTTTGCACAGTAGGGAAAAGACTGGGAATAAAATGTAGAGTGGCTATTCTGTAATTGGGTTAAAAGCTGGGAGAGGATTGTTTCGTGGTCAGACTTGTGCTTGGTAAGATCAAGTTCGTCGTTTTATAGCTTGTGGCTTAAAATGAATCAGTAATATTAGTTTGCATTTAAATAAGGAAGTTAAGCCATAAGGATTTTTTAAAATCACTGTTTTTTAGATTTTTACCAATGTCAGTGTCTTTAAAACACCTTTCCAGAATGAGTTTAGCTTAGGACCTCAAGTGAATCCTTAGTAGGTCAAGTGTAACTTCACATTGCTTCTAAATGTTGATTAGCATCATCATTCACTTAAATAAATCATTATTTTTCTTTTAGCTGTCTTGGGTGCTTAATTCATCCACCTACCCACTCTTTCTTTAATATCTAATACTGATTAGACATTTTTAATATCAATTTTTTGGGGGCAGAGAAATAAATTATGGTTCTAAGGAGTTTTGTTTGTTTGTCTGTTTTTTGGGGGAGGTAATTAGGTTTACTTATTTATTTATTTTTAGAGCAGGTACTGGGATTGAACCCAGGACCTTGTGTATGCCAAGCATACACTTTACCACTTGAGCTATACCCTCCCCGCTCTAAGGAGTTTTTTAAAGTGGAAGGGTGATATGGTAGATACAATACCAAAACTTGAGAAAAGGAAACATTTTGAACCACTGGTGTGTTCAAACACAGAACAAGTTATGTTCAATTTTGAGATAAATGTGTTCTTTATTTGTTTGTGAAGATAAACTTCATGAGTCTGAAAAGGAAGAAAAAAATTCCCTTTTATTCTTTTCTTGAAATCTGAACTGGGTGTTTCAGACCAAAAGCTTTGAGTGGGTGGCTGAAGCAGGAGCACAGAAGGGGACCGCTGCCAGGTAAGAAGGGCCGTGGCCTCTGCCTCCTGGAGGAGGCTCCATACCTTGTATATTAAAAACTATTCCAACCAGAATGTGCTCTGGGAGGAATGATTTAGGGCAAGAATGATTTGGAGACTCTTTTTAATAATATCCTTCATGTAATGAGATTGTTACAGTCATAATTATTGAGCATCTACTAAGGGCTGTGCTGCACACTGTGCTCGTCATGTATGGTGTTTAATCTTCAAAACAATCTTGTGAGGTAGGTTCTGTTACCCACATTCTGTAGATGGACCCCGGGGCAGAGATGCGGGTTATGGGGGCTCTGGTCACGGACCTTGCAGACTGCCCAGCAGAGATGCAGACCCAGAAGAGCTGGTCTCCAGAGTCTCTACTCGTGACTACCATGCCTTACCAGCGGTTCTGCTAATCTTGGTTTAAGTAAACTGACACATTCCCTTTCCTCCCTGTATCTTGTTAGGGACTTCTCTCCTCTGATCCAAGAGAGAACTCATTACTCTGTTCTCAAAGGCTGGGGTCAGCAGAGCGCACACAACATGTGTTAGGGTCCCAGGCACTGGCGGTAGCCCACACCTAGGCTGATGGCCCAGGATGCCTGGGGTTTGGGGGTGAAGGGAGATGAACCCATGCCGTGGTATTCAGGAGCTTATGAACGAGCTTGCTGCAACGTGTCTCTTATGTTCCATCCTGGAATAAAGGGAAGAGAGGGACCGGCTTAGTGCATGTTGTCCAGGGTGAAGAGAATCTCAGTCTCCCCTCAAGGCCATTTTTTCTGCACACCATGGGATTCAGGGCACTGTTAACTCACCCACTGGCAGTTCTCCATCCCCGTAAAATCTAGTATTTGCAAGGCTTAGGTTAGGGACTTCCTGGGGCCAAAATATTTTCACTTCCTGGAGGCTAGACAGAGTGGGATTCAAGATGACACTCTTGGTCTGTTATTTTGCTCCTTGTAATCTCTTTAGGTTTCACAGATAGATCATTTGGTGACTTAAAGGAGCCTGAGATTGTCTTGATATTTACTTGATAGTGTCTGATTTAAGAGTGTTTCACAGAATAACTCGAGTTTTATAAGATACTACCTGGCAGAGCCTTGAAAAACCTCTAGCCATTTCTCCAAAGCTTGCCTGTTGATTTGAGAGCATTTTAAATTGTGGAAGCTCTGGATCCACCTTTTCTCTTTCTCTGGATGACTTCTGCCTACTGCACATCGTCCATGCACTGATCATCAGGCTGGACTTGACCTCTCCATGGAGAAGTGAGGGAAAAAATTTCATGAAAGTCCTCTGTTTTTAGCATTGTTCATCATTACTCCCATACAATAAAAGGGCAGGTCTTTGGTCTTCTTCCTGAACCTGATGTAGTTACTAATAGAAAAAATGTAAAGAATGCTTACTTTGAATTGTAAGAATGAGTTTTAGCTACAGATGCCCTTCTCCTTTTAGCTTCCAGGCAAAGACACACTTGGAGGAGGAGGAAGGCAGGCAGAAGTTGAGGGGAGGTTATCATATTAATGTAGTTTGTTCTCTTTTTCTCTTCAGACTGCTGCCATTTTCAGCCTTGGAAAACACCTAAGTGGCACTTGGAATTAAACTCACCCAGGGAAGGTGAAATGAATATTGAGAGTTCAAGTAAAAATCACTTTCTGTCTCTCCACATGATTTAATTCCTCTTTTTATCTTCTTTCCTAAATATCATATGTTAAAAACAATATTGGGTTTAAACGTAGTGCTAAATCACCATGGTTAACAGCAGAAGAAAGGTAGCTGTTTCTCTAAACAGGTGACTTCTGACAGAGCCTCAGCTGAGGGGCGGAAGAGACTGCAGAAGTCTCTGCTCTGCCTTCCGTTTCTAGAAAGAAAGTTTTCCTGAGGTTAAAGAGGAAGCCAAGGTGCCTACTCTAAAACAGGCAAGTGTTTCTTGTTGTTGCTCAGTTAACTTTATCAGGGAAATAATGAGCTGGGTTCTTTTACCCTCAGGAAGACTTAAGCTGTACCTTCCACCTCTTTCTTCAGGGAGTCTTCACTTTACATACACTGATGCCAAGGTAGGGAGAATTGGTTTCTTTACAACCCAGAAGCTTAGATGGAAAGTATTTTTTGCCTCTGCAAAAGCAAAATAGCTAGTATTTCTTGCTG